AGAAAGATGGTTAGAAGGCCAGGCCCAGCGGGTAGTGATCAACGGCTCGATGTCAGGGTGGCGATCAGTTTCTAGCGGAGTGCCCCAAGGTTCGGTTCTAGGACCGGTTTTGTTCAATATCTTTATTAATGACCTGGATGAGGGGATGGATTGCACCCTCCGCAAGTTTGCGGATGACACTAAGCTAGGGGGAGAGGTGGTACACTTGAGGGCAGAGATAGGGTCCAGAGTGACTTAGACAAATTGGAGGATTGGGCCACAAGAAATCTGAGGAGGTTCAACAAGGACAAGTGCAGAGTCTTGCACTTGGAACGGAAGAATCCCAAGCATTGTTACAAGCTGGGCACCTACCAGCTGAGTAGTAGTTCTGCAGAAAGGGACCTGGGGGTTACAGTGGATGAGAAGCTGGATGAGAGTCAACAGTGTGCCCTTGTAGCCAAGAAGGCTAATGAATATTAGGTTGCATTAAGAGGAGCATTGCCAGCAGATCCAGAGATGTCATTATTCCCCTTTATTCGGCTCTGGTGAGGCCACATCTGGAGTATTGTGTCCTGATCTGGACCCTCCACTACAAGAAGGATGTGGACGCATTGGAGAGTGTCCAGCAGAGGGCAACCAAAATGATTAAGGGGCTGGAGCATATGACCTATGAGGAGAGGCTGAGGGAGTTGGGTCTGTTTAGTCTGTAGAAGCGAAGAGTGAGGGGGGATTTGATAGCAGCCTTCAACTTCCTGAAGGGAGGTTCCAAAGAGGATGAGGAAAGGCTGTTCTCAGTAGTGACAGATGGTAGAACAAGGAGCAATGGTCTCAAGTTGTGGTGGGAGAGGTCCAGGTTGGATATTAGGAAAAGCTTTTTCACTAGGAGGGTGGTGAAGCACTGGAATGGGTTACCTAGGGAAGTAGTGGAATCTCCATCCCTAGAGGTGTTCAAGTCTCGGCTTGACAAAGCCCTGGCCGGGTTGATTTTGTTGGGATTGGTCCTGCCTAGAACAGGGGGCTGGACTTGATGACCTTCTGAGGTCTCTTCCAGCTCTATGGTTCTGTGATTCTAAGGCTGTGCTACTCCTTGTCTGTGTATAAACTGCTAATTGTTGCAGCCCCAGCCTTGGGTTAGGGCGGGGCTCCTGACTGGTAATTGTTGCAGCCCCTGTCTTGTGCTAAGGTTGGGCTACCCACTCCCTGTAAAGAAACTATTTGCTTATTGCAGCCCCTGCCTGGTGTTAGAGCAGGGCTAGGGATTGTTTGCTTGGATTGCTTGACTGTTGCAGCCCCTGCCTGGGATTAAAGCCAGGCTACTGACTGCTTAGGGGCTTGTAGTGGGTGGGAGTGGCCACCCTCTGACCCTGAGGGGAGCCCCTTCATTCTCCGCAGGGTACCGCAACGGGCTACAATAATCCTCATGGTTCTATAATTTCTAAGCTAGATATAAAATGTTTATAACTTTAATAACTGGAGTTTGATTATTCAGTGCATTTTATAGGTTGTTAGATACTGAATTTTTAACCGTATGGGATCAGTGTTTTCATGAGGGCCTAAACTGGGGAGCAAGCCTTGGGCAGTGGTGGCTCTTCTTGAGGAATATGCTTTTTAGCCCCTAGTCCAGAGGTGGACAAGAGGCGGCTAGTGGGCCCGCAGCTGTCTTAACTGCACCCTTACTACAGAGCAGCTGCAGCGCTTTAAACAGCAGATTGCTAATTGCTATGCAGTCTGGGCAGGGAGGAGAAAGCTTTGTGCACCGGAAAAATCCCTTAGCTCTTATTAGGAGCTTAAAATATTTTCTGAAGGCAGGAACAGTGAATGAAGCTTCCTCACTCCCCTCTCACTCCCTCCCTCCATTCCTGTGCTTGAACAGAACCATGTAAAGCAGCCCACCCAGCACATAGGCAAGGAGGCTCAGGTTCCTGTTGAGCTGCTGGCTGGATGAGCCTAGGTAAGCGCCTCCCAGCCAGAGACTGTTTCTGGCACCCCACCTCCTCTTTCCCCCCAATTATCTGCCCCAGGTGACCATCCAAGTCTTCTGTATCCCCTCTCCCCACCTCCTTAAGGTCACAGCTCCCTCCCCGACCCTGCACCGCCTTCTACACACTCCCCCAGTCCAGAATCCTTTCCTGGACACATACTCCTCCCTGACCCTACACCCATTTCCCTGCCCCATGTCACCCTCCAAACCCTCTTCACTCCCTTTCCCTCCTTCTCCAATATCAGAACTCCCTTACAGAACTTGCATCTACACCCTCCCCTAAGCCAGAATTCTCTCCTGCACCCCCTTCTGAACCTTGCACCCCAAGCTCCTGCCTCAGATCATAATCTCCTCCTTCACCCAAACTCCCTCTCAGACCCCACACTCTCTCCTGCACCCCCGTCCTTTATCCCAAGCTCCCCTTTACACCCACCCGCTTTCTCCCTCCACAGAAGTACAGACCTTCTCCACTTCCAAAATCCTGGCGTAGCCCACCCTGTTAAAAATTATTGCCCACCCCTGCCCTAGTCTTCTGTGCTATTTGCTATATCATCTGTCAGACACAGAGTGAGTTTAAGAGTAAGGTATAAGGATTTGCACTTACTTCACACATGGTGTTCCCTCTTAGGTTATTCATACGTCTGGGAGGCCAGAAGAAGCTGTTACGATCTAGTAGTTTGATTTGCTGCATGATCCAGACAACCTAATCTCACCCATCAACTTTTGGATCAAGCCCAAAACACCTGGTTGAACTAGAGAATCTGTTAGTCAATTTTAGTTTTAAATGGGAAAAGGAATATGTTCCCTAGTTACTTATCCCTGTTCTGTATGCATAACCATCTCTGATTCACGTGGTTTTGTTTTTTAATGACAAGGAAACTGATTTAGAAATTAAAAAATAGGCAGCCCTATAAAGAAGGGGAAGCATGATAGATCAGAGTACTTTCTGTTCAAGGTAATCTGTGTTCTTATCATGAATATGGATAAGAAGGAACAGGCTGTATATCAAGCTAATTTCAGGAATACATCACATTGGTGATTCAGGAGAGTGGTCTTGCCTGGCATAATAAAATCCCTGTTTTTGTTGGATAATAACCAACTGTCCATAGCACTTTCCAATTCTATTCTTACCCTTCTTCCTAGTCTGTTCCACTAGAAATCTTGCACTCCACTTGTCATGAACCACATAACATTTCAGGCTGTTCTTTCCCCTCCCCCCCGCCCCACCCCATATCCACAAAGATCCATTTAATCTTCAGTTTAGCATCAGTATTTAGGAAGGAGAATTGAAATCACTTCAACCTAAGTTCTTATTTCAGATTGTTGCCTGAATGCTATAGTCTCTCTCAGAGGTCAGAATGTTTTGTTATCCCAGCAAACTGAATAGTCATTGTTCTCATTGTTAATCTCTCAGTCTTTGGTTAAGGTTACTGTGATTAAAAAGTACAACACGAAAATGAAAACTGTTTATAAAAGCAGCTAGCTGAATACTACAAACATCTCTAGAAAGATGCTTAGTGTGAAGCAATATTTAAAATGTCTGGAAGTCTCTGCTTAGCTTCCTGATATTAAAGCTGAATTTGTATAAGACGTGAAGTTACATATTTAAGTCACTCATTTTATTTATTTTAATTTTAGATCTCTGTAAACAAGTATGCCTAAATCTTGTTTGGGTGTGTTAGCTAGGGAGAGCATTATAATGCTTGGAAAGTTAAAGTAAAATATATGTAACCCACTTTTTCCTCCTCCGGTTACTCGGGAACAGGTCACACTCACAGGTGTGCCTGGGCGCCTGATGGTTTTAACATAAAAGGAGATCCTGTGTACCGCAGTAGTGGTGATGTTTAGTTGGGGAAACCCTATCCATCCCCTTACTGATGTCCCTTGCTCATAAAGAACATATAATGGCGGTGCCTCCACCTGGCTGGCCCTGTACACACTTAATGGTGTGCCTTGGGAGCCTCCAGAATAAAATTATTCCAGCAATGATCTGGATCTAGCTCCAGAACAACGATTACAAATCATAGTATGCATCTGATAGATTACAGTAGAAAGAACAACCTTTACTTAACAATTTAAAGAAACTGAGTTTAACAGAATAACACTAACAAAGTACATAGAAATAATAGGAACATATCTATCTGACATTTGCACTGCCACCGTTTATCACACCCCAGAGTATGCACTCCTCAGGACTCTTAGTACCACATGCTTGCGTGGATGTGCTTGAAGATTTTGCAGCTGGAGTAGATGATTCGAGTCTTTTTCAGTGTGCTGGGTGCAGAGTAGTACTTCTAGCTGCAGGAACAGCCAAAGGGCAATCAGAAGCAGCCTGCAAGATTCCAGTCTCAAAGGCTCTGAATCCAAGTCCGTAGCTGCAACCTAACAGCTCCTGGACTGGCTAAAACTCTTCCACAGCAGCCTGGTTTCTTTTTTCCAAAAACAAAGAGAAGAGCCCACAGACTGTTGAGAGTCTCTCTCTCCACACACATGGAGAGACCCAGACCCCAAAACAGAAATCACTTCCTTCTTGGTTTCCTCAACGGCTCATGGGAATTGTAGTCTCTGGGGCTAGATTACAGTACGCAGGATCTTCCCAGAAAATACGCAGAGGCACCTTTAGTAAGGGGACTACATTAGGTTATGCAGAATATGCTTATACATACAACTATAATTACATACTACTAGTTTCCCATAGCATATTTCAAAAACACATGCCATTTCCAGTGTAAGCCGAAAAGCTTGTATATCAATGTTTTCTTGATGTGTGCCAGTTCTATGGAAATCAAGTATGTGAAGTGGAAGTTACTGTTTTGGAAGCTTAGACTTCATTTATCAGGTAGGCATTTGCTAAAAAACTTATGACTGATTAGCAATGAAAATGCAAACACCAGGTATCAGGGAGCTGAAGTTATTGCATGCACTTAATTTTAAAACTTTCTGGATTTCATTCCTTGTAAGAATAGCTGTTAACATTCTTGGATAAGTAAATATCTATGCAAATGTGTCAATTAATTGCTTTTGTTGGGTTGTTTTGCAGGCATGCTTCCTAAAAATAAAGTATTGGATGATACTTTCAAAGATTTAACACCAAGGTATTTATCTATATTTTACAGTACACTTTTTCCTACACATTTTGTTACATAGTGTATACTGTTAGCAAATGCAAAGTACTCTCTAATCCATAAATCTCAAAGTGCTCTATGTAGATGGATATGTATCCTTATCCTTTTTTACAGATAACTGAACATATATTTCCCTAACTTAAAAATGTTGTGCCTACCGTGAGTCTGTAGAAATTTGGAAGAATAGAGAATAGTGACACTAGCCTCTGCCCTATGCTGCCTCTCAGATGAATATACAGTTATTGCTACTGGATTCCTCCCCATTTGTGTCGTTCCCTCCTACCCCCCCGCATAGTGCAATTAGTGGTACTGGCTTGAATTTTTCTACGTTTGTATAGTATACAATATTTTGTTAAAATATGTAATTATCTTCTGATATTTAATTTTTAAAAGGCTGATGGGTAAGTGCAATATATCTTCTAAATTATATCCACCGGTATATATGATGTTGTGGAGGTTACCTATGTAGCAGTACTGATGCAGTTCTTCAGCAGAATGGAAGAATGGCTCAATATTGACTAATGTAGAATGGGAACAAACCATGAAACATAAATGAAGTGGCCAATGGGACTCTTAATTACTTAGCTCTTAATGGTTAAAAGTGCAAGGAACAGTGGCTGCAGGAGGCTGTTTGGATAGAGTGCACTGTTCACAGGCTGGGACTGACTCCATTCCTACAACTACTTCAGTTTTTTCCCTTTTCCTAGTCTACCTCAGTGTTTATGCAATACCTTGTGAATCCTGTCATTGATATAGGGACTGTCATTGATATAGGGACAGGGTAAATCGGGAAGAGAAGACAACTCACACAAACTATAGAGAACTACATAATCTATTTGCACACAGTCTCATTTGAAGTAGGTTTCAGGGTTTTGCTTTCTTGTCTTAGACTGAAAGGTGGGTACGATAATGTAAGATTAAACTATTACTTTGTATATTTGATACTTAGCCATATTGTGTATATAATACTGAGACCCCCATCCTAGAAAGGGGACAGGATCAATGGGAAATGAATGTAGGAGTGAGAATAGTAATATTTACTCCACGTGGCCAGAAGAGTACGCTTAAAAGATGTCTGTTCATCCAAACAAAGAACAGCTCACCTTACTCAAATGCCTGTCATCAATAATCAGTTTCTTTAAACCAATCATGTGCAATTGTTTACACCTTCATACAGTTAGTACAAAGCTTATGCACATTCTTGCCTGAATCATACTTTCTAATATAATTAATTTTGTTAACTAGTAACTAGAGTTCCTGTTTTAATGTTGAATATCTTTCCTTAAATAATCAGGTTTAGATTTCTTTAAGGATATAAAAATATAATTGGTACATGATTTCATTGAAAGGTCTGCTCGGAAATTTTGGTGTTGAAATGTATTTTTTATTTCCCACAAGACTAATTCTTTTATTTCTTAATATTTTGCAGCTATGACTGGTTCCAAACCGATTGCTTGGTCACTGTTGTCATATATACTAAACAAAAGGTAAATGCATTTTATTGAAAAGACAAGAACCTTGAAATCTGGTGAATATGTCTCATGAGTTCTTCAGCCTTGTTCATTTGTATAAAATGTATTTTAAATTAAATTGAAATAATAATTTCCTTTTCTATATAAGGGCATGAATTCAGAAATGGTAATAGTTGACCATCAAGATGGTAGACTGAGAGTAGACAGCATTCTGAGGGACTATTCATATCTCTTGCATATTGGTAAGTACTTTAGTTTTGCATTGGAAAACCATTAAAATTGCATTCTATCAAGAGTTTAATTCTACTCCTCCCCTCCCAATATAGTAGTTAGTAGGGATGTAAAAGAATAGTCGATTAGTCAACTACTCGCATTCCCCCCCTTCCCCCCCCCCTCTATATTGGAGGCAGCAAGAGCGGGGGAGCAGGAGACGGTGCTGGGGGGATTAATCTCTGTGGTGTTGCTTGCTCCCCCTTACCCTGTGCTGCTGCTTCTATTAGAGGCAGCAGTGCAGGGGGGAGGGAGACACAGGAGGCTGCTCCAGCAGCAGCCCCTCTCTGTGGGAGGTCCCAACACCCTGCTGGGATCCCCTGTGGGCAGGGGCTGCTGCTGTGAGCTGACTGCTGCTGCCTGAGTTGGCCATAAACAGACTGCTCCGCAGCAGCCCCTGTCTGCAAAGAGTCCCAGCTTCCCCATTGGGACCCCCGCGGACAGTGGTGCTGGACCTGATGTGGGCCGGGACTGAGCAAGCTCGATTCAGTCTAGGCTCGTGCCCGGTCCAGGAGCTACTCCTGCTGTGGCTCTGCAGTTTAAATGCAGTAGGAGCCGGACTCCTGCAGAGCTACAGCAGGGGTAACTCCTGAATGCCTTCCCTTATTGACTAATCATGTAGTTGGTACAAATTTTATTGATTACAGGATTACCCACCTCTTAACATCCTTAGTAGTTAGTGAATTTGCATATATGTGTTTTTATATCTTATGCTTCTATATTTCCCATAAAATATGTTATTTATATAATGATACTCTGGAGTTAAGTAAATTGTGCCATATTTGACACCTTACAAATAATTTACAGTGAATGCTTGCTTTTTTGCCACCTAAAGTTCTTTATATTGTTCTAAGGTGTATGGAATGAGCTGTAATAACAATACTTAATTTGCAATCATTTCACTGTAAATAAATAATGCTGTGATCGAGTACCTGGATGGGTCACACTGGGAAGGCTGCACTCAGGACTGTAAGAAGTTCTACCAATCCAAATGTCAGATCACTTATCTCAGATCTTATCCAAAAAACATATAAGATTTAAGTGCAAAAATTTCACTTGGGAAATTTTGGGACCACTCCAGTCCAAAAAATTCCCTCATTCGGGACTGCTGAGGTCCCAAGGGTGCCAGATGAGAGAGGCCCAACCTGTAACTGAAGGATTGTTAAATGATCATGAAAACATTGCCCCACCAGTTAAAAAGGTAGAAATAATTAGTATTATGTTCTAGGGATCTGTATTGGGACTAGTGCTGTTCAATTGATTCATAAATTATCTTGAAAAAAGGGTTAGTGCAAAAATTTGCATATGATAGAAAATTACTCAAAATAGCTAAGTGTAAATCTGACTGCAAAGAGTTACAAAGGGATCTCAAAAAACTAGGTGTCTACACAGCAACATAGTTATTTCAGAATAACTGACCTTATTCTGAAATAACAAAGTGCATCTATGCTACAAGCCTTTGTTTCAACATAATGTCGAGCTGGAGGACTTCTTACTCCAACTCATGGTAACCCTAATTTTACAAGGAGTAAGGGAAGTCGAAGGAAGAGTGTTCTTCCTTCAACTTCATACTGTGTAGATAGCCCCAAAAGCTAAAATAATCTATTTTGACTTAAACTGCTCAATTGACGTAGTTGAAGTTGCATAGCTTATTTGGACTTTAGCTCTGCTGTGTAGTATCCCTTAGTGTGTCAGATGCTGACAACTATAGAAGCAGAAGGCAATTCGATTTCTAATTATATCTTAAGAGGATGTTCATTGTCTTCATTTTTAGAGCTGAGCTATGAAGTTCAAGAGGACATTACTGGTAAGGTGTTCCACTTTTCCCCTCTGTTCTCTACCCCATTGTTGGAACAGAATTTGGACACAGTATATGAAGCAAGCAGAAGGATTTATTAACACACAGCGGTGGCGGAGTGTCATGTCGCTTGTTATGCTCGGTGAACACTGCCAAACGATAGGTTACAACTAATTATATAGGATGCTCAGTGGGCAGATCAAGTGATGGGGGAAGGGAAAGATCCCGGACCTCCTGGATAGATACTAACAGTGAGGCAAAGTAAGAGCAATAATATAAAGTTACATAGTGTTTTCCACCATAACTTACATAATACCTTACATCTAGTTAAACAAGTATTTAAACAAAGCAGACATCAGTTATCACTTCTGTGTTAGTGGCGATATGTCCGTCAGCTTCAAGAAGGTGTCTCTTTGCAGATGTGGTCCATCTGGGGATTAAAGCAGAGACATTAGGAGTACTTGACAATGGCACATTTGTTCCTAGCACCATTGAATGTGTCATGTCCTGTCTCCCATCCTGGGTAATTAGTTCTGTGATGACCTTTCTTCAATGGGCTAGGTGAGGAGACGGGGGTAACCATCATGTACTATGTTAGTGTGCCAGTTCCAGACTCCAAATTTAGAATAGAGGTTCTTAACAGAGTAGCCTGCCTCAGAACTTTTTACCCTACACCATTAATGTCAAACCATGAAAACTTAGGTGTATCTACTATGCTTTGCCCTTCTCCATCTGGCTAGCACTTATTCAACAGATGTATGATACCTTTGCCTATGAATAATGATTTGGCGCAACATGCTATTTTGAACATTGGGTTCATTCATTCCCTTTCAAGGGATGCTGCATTGCACTAATGTCAAGCTGCTATTAAGAATATAGGCCTAAGGAACAGTATTCAAAAGACAATATAATTCTGTCAAGGAAAATGTTGCTGTGCTAGAAGTGAGCCTCCATATTTTCTTGAAGTTCTTATATAATTTATAATAAAGGTCTCACTGTGAAGTCAGACCAGTATTAAGAAAAGTAACTGGTGAGTGAACAAAGTGTGTGTGAATTTTTTTAAAAGTCTGCTATCTAAGGCCAACTGCCTTTCTAAACTGTCAGCTTTCTCGAGTTATCATAATGGATGATAAAGGTTTAAGGTGAATACATGTAGATTCCTTAGAAGTATTTAAGCTAGAATGTCAGCAATACGCTGGGCTCCCACAGGCATCTTTAAAATGTGTTATAGTGATTAGAAGTATGCTCTATGGTGTATATTTGCATACAGAACATTGGATTAATCATTTTTATAATTAATCTGCATATTGTACAATAGAGGGGCTTGTTGCTTACGTGTTACAGCAAAAGTAATACTATTGATCAATAATTGGTAATTCTGAAATCATGAGCATTAATTTCTTTGACTAGATGAGCAAAACGTACTTACTAAATATACTGTAGATGCTTTATTAGGCATGCATACTAAGCTATTTTTAAAACACTGAAGTGTGTCAGATCTGCAAGTACATTTGATTTGATGTTTTAAGGTAGCACAGTAGGTTTGTATATTTTAAGAGGCTAGCTGCTAGTCCTTGCTGAACTTACGTACAGTGAAACTAAATAGTAAAACTTGATTCAAAATTTCACCAAAATTTTTATTTTTTAAGTGCGCATCGCTGAAAAAGTGGGAAAGGTAGAGATTGTCTTGAAGAAAAAAAATAATCTTCCTTGGAGTAAACTGGGACAGCCACTGGAGTGTCATAATTCATTTATCAAGTACACAGACAGAGGTAAATAGCCTTTAATTTGTTATACAAGACAGTTGTTTCTCTTATCTCCAATGTGGTCAAAGATCTTCCACTCCTATTTTACTAACTGGTCCAATATAAGATTCCTAAGGAATTGGGGACAGATCGACATGTCCCTTTGCCTTTTATAGTCAAGCCTTCCCCCTAGTCTAAAGAGGTTTTCTGATTGAGAGTATTACTCCTGAGGCCAAAATATTAAAAATTTGTGTGTCAAAAATAAAAATGGTGTGCCTAATATTTTTAAATACTTCAAATTTTATTTGTCAATAAATAAATATGGCTTCAGCATATAATTGGGGAGCACAGGCAACTGGCTGTATTGAGGAAGGAGTTCACCCTGAAGGCCTCATGTCCCCCAGTACAGGGACTTAGCCGTGATGTGACACCCAACTCTGACACAGTGCAAGGGCCAGGCCTGCCCCAGAAGACCTACCTCTCTGTACCTAGTGTGAGTGGCCAGGCTCAGACCAGCAAGATCCAAGTGTGGAGGGGCTTAGTGTAGGACCATCTGGAGGTGGGCTGAGAGGTTTCTGTGTGGGGCAGTCTGGGTGTGGGCAGCTCAGTGGGAGATCTGGATGCACAGGGTCTTATTGGCAGGTTCCGGGAGCAGGGACAAAAGGACTACAGTGGATCCAGCTTAGGAGATTGGAGCTTAGCAAGAGGAGTCTAGGACTGAGGAAATGGGGCTTGGCTGGGGATGAGAGGTTGGGTGTGGAGGGCTCAGTGGACAGGGGGACTTGGTGCTAGAAGAATGGGGCTTGATGGGGTGGGGGTATAGGTGTAGGTGGTTGGGGATCTGGGGGCTGGGGGGACTTGTTGAGGGGTGGTGGTCGGTCGGGGGAAGAGTTTGTCAAGGTGTTGGTTCGATGAGCCTGCTTAATTGGGGAACCTCAGCTACTGCTGAGGGGATGCTGTTTATTGGGTTCCTTCTTCCCCCATGATTTTCCCCTCCTTACTCTCTCATTCACCTCCCACCGCACTATTGCACTTCCTTCCTCCTTTATGCCTCCTCACCCTGCCTTCCCTCACTTCCCCAGTTCCACCTTACCTAGCCCCCCGCAGCCACTTACTGTTGCACAGAGAATAGAAAGGCTCCCAGTAGACCAGGGCTGGGCAAAAGCCAGCTGCTGCAGGACCATGTGCATCTCTGAATGCTGAGAGCCCCAGGGAGGAAGGGTGAGAGGCTTCTCTCACTGCTTCCACCTCCAATAGCTCCCATTGGCTGGTTTCCTTCCAATAGCATCTGCCTGTTTGCAGGACAGGCAGCATGTGAAGTACCCTTCCCTGCTCCTTGTCTCCCAGGTTCACAGTATTCACAGCAGCAAACATGGCTCCTTGAGCTGCTGAGAGCAGTACAGGGGCATGGAAGGTAGAGACCTGGTTAAGGAACCTGCTGTGCTGCTGACTGGGAGTCCCCCAGGTAAGGTATCCTAGCTAGAGCCTGCCTCTGGCATCCCAGCTCCTTCCTTCTCCAACCCTCTGATCCCCTCCTGTATCCTTACCCCATGTAACCCAAACCTTCTGCACCTCTGCTTCAGCCCCCGTACATCTTTCCATATACTGTTTCCCCTCCTGCAACCCTCGTCAGGTCATAACCCCCTCCCAGGCATTGCAGCCCTATCCACTGTTCCTGGTCACAGCCCAAATCCCAGCACCCCCTCCTGCACTCCTGCCTCAAGTTACAACCCCTTCCCAGACCCTGCACCCCAATCTTCTCTCCCTGGTCACAGCCCAGATTCCTCCACCACCACCTGTATTCCTGCCCAAGGTTATGACCCCCAGGCCAGAATCCCTCCCTACACTCCTCTCCCAGGCCAGAATCCTCTCCTGCTCCCTCCTAGACCCTGTACCCCAATCCCCTACCCAAACCTCTGTGCTCCTACGCCAGGTCACACTCCCCTCCCAGACTCTACACCCCCTCTTGTACCCCAGTTCACTGCCCTAGGTTACAATTCTGTCCTTCACCCAAACTGCCTCCCAGATCCCACACCCCAGTCCCTTATTCCATGCTCCCTTTTGCACCTAACATCTATCCCAGATCCCTGCACCTCCTTCATTAATATAATGAGAGTGCAGCCCTTGATTCTTACCAAATTCTTGGAGTGCCCCCCCCATCAGAAATTATTGCCCACTCCTGCAGTACACAGAAGGGGAATGTGACTGGCATTAGGACCCAGGAGGCAACATTCAGTTTTAGAGTCAGCTGAAGCCAAGAGGCAAGCTCCTTCAGCTGGACAGCTCTGCACTTGCAGCAAAAGGAGGGTGCAGGGGGGAAGGCAGTGGTATGTAACCCTGTGTGTCTTGTCTCTTTTGGGGGAGAGGGAGAAATCCCCTAAAAAACTTTATCAATGGTTTGTCATACCTCGGTACCTTTGGTGGTCTGAACTGTCAGTGTCAGCATCGTCTGGTCAGGGTCGTCCTGGCGTGGTCCGGACAGGACCTCTGCTCTGTCAGTGATGATAAACTTTTGGCTGCGTGCGTAACAATCGGTACTCCCTTTATCTAGAGTATTAGACCCCGTGCATTTGGGTCAACACAGGAGATCTCTGAGAGGCCCCGGAAACGACAGATGCAGGCAAGGTTTGAAATCAATTGAGCAAGTTTATTGTCAAATGCGAAGCTCTACCAGTTGGTAACAGAGATCAGTACAATGTTACACCACTGGGCACTATGGCCCGCGTTGACAAGGTACCAACACCGGGCAGGCCTATTGCCGTATAACAGATATTAACAACAGTTAGCCAGAGTTAAGCTACTGTGCATTCTCTAAGTTCAGGCAATGACACCTGCCATTCAGGCACCTAGTGAGCCCCCCCACCTCCCTCTCCCAAGGTCAGCTGGAGAGCACGCTCTGCAATGTCCTTTTTATAGACAGGTACAAACAACTTACATCATTTCTTTACGTACCGGGTTGCCACCTTCTGTTGCCTAGATACCAACCCTCACCTTATGGAAGGGGGGCTTACTTAATATCCTTCATGCTGTCAATTCCGACCTGGTCCTGAACCTAGGTCGGTATGTGCATTAGTTTTTAGAGAGTCTTTGTACCAGGACATTCCTAAAGATGTTCCGTTACTCCCTTTTGGCTTATAGTCTGTACCCAGTGCCTCCCTGTGTCCTTCCATGCTCTACCTAACTTACACAATTACCTAGTTATTTGTAGGGCCTCTTTCTTGGCTACTGTTATTGAACCAAAGTCTTGCTCACTAGATTGCAGGCCTGTTGCTGTTTTCATGTTTCAGGTCTCTATTTAGGCCTGCTGACTCCATGTTACTGACCCTCAACTTACTACATGGCTGTTCCCTCTCTTCCCCAATGTACAGTTTCCCTTTGCTGTTAGAGTTCAACTCAAATGCTTCCTGTCCCGAGGCAGAATCCAAAACCTATCTGATTTGCAGAAAGGACATGAGAGATCCAGCAGGTGGCAGCTCGCGCCATTCTGCTAGTGTTGGATCTCATCATAATACTTCCGCTTCATATCCGCTTCAGAAGATCTAAGTGGACACTTATCTCCCAATATAATAAGCAGTGTAGGGGACACTGCATTTGGGTGATCGATGTCTTCTGGAGGTGTCTTGGTTATAGTGGTAGTCTGATGATAACTGTCAGCTAAGGAATGGACTTATTAAATGGCTCCAATTCAAACTGTGGTTATCACTGATGCACCCCTTGTGAGAGAGAGCGATCATGCAGATAGACTCTGTAACTCAGAGAATTGGTGTTTTGAGGATGCCTTGAATTGCCCTGTTTTCTTGAAGTCTGTCTTGCCAACTATTAAACTGTTTTGTGGTGTGCTGATTGGCCCATATTGGCCCTCTGCGTACCCCTGTTCTAAATTTGCTTGTTTGAGATAAACTTGTTTTCATTTGGCAGAAAATGCTTTGTTACAAATTAAGCAAAGGGAGATTACTCTCTTTGTAACCTCTTTGCCTATTACATGTAGTGCTTTAGACTATGATTCTTCTCATCCCAAAATTAGGAGCCCTGGTGTCATGGATATTAACATAGTCTGACAAGCCAGTGGAAAGTTTCTTTTGAGTCACCCAGACCTCTGAGCTTGTTTCTTATGTGAAAGCTCATTTTCCTGGCGGGTCTGAGTTCAGCTTCAGAATGTGTTGACTCTTCCTCCCTGAGATGAGATTTTTATAAATATATGGGATGGTGCATGAGGCAAGGAAACTTATTATAATTTTTCAAGTGGCGATAGCTCTGATTGCCTAACTTATCCATTACCTGGAATGTAACATTTTTTTTATATTTCTGAAATATACATTATTAAAATTTTTATGACTAAATGAAACTACAGGAAGGGATAACTATATAGTTTAGTTATAGAGGTCAGAACAATTGCAACAATTTTTAAAGACACATTCCACAGATATATTGAGACACATTACATATATGGAGTCAAAACGATTGTAACACGAGGCACCAGTGTTCAAGGTAGTTAAACAGAGAAGTCTCCACTTTTAAAATGGGGGTGAGGAGTTGCTATGAGAAGCTTCATGGTTATTCTGTGGCTTTAAATTGCACTGATTTTGCACCGGTTTCTAGAATTGGAAGAAAGCAAAGAGAATCTTGAAAACAACTTGAGAAGTCTCAGAATAAAAGCTTCTAAATACTTCTTATACAGTCTGCAGAAAAACCTTCAAGAACAACCCCTTGAGTATTAAAAGAAAATCTTGAGTTTTTCTCTTAACTTAATCCTAAATTGCCCTTTCAGTCTGCACACATAGTGGTAGGAAGAAATGTCCCTTACTCTGAAATGCTCTGCATTTTTTATTACAGGTTGGGCCACCCTGGTCCAGCATCCTCAGGACCTGAGCTGTGTCAGACCAGGGAATTTGCTGGACTGGGGAGGTCAAGGCTCCCTTGCTGGCTTCCCTGCTGATGGCTCCTCTCTCTGGGGCTTCCTGCCTTGCTGCTGCCCCACTAAAGCTAGCCAGGTCCTGCTGCCATCTGCCTGCACCATGGGTTCTCAG